TACCCCCGTGGTGGCGTTTTGGTGAAGTATATGCACCCATTTCCGAAAGATTCCTCGAAAATTCATTTTCTCCAATTGTCCAAAAAATGTCAGTCTACATGGTCGTACGCCTTTTCAAAGTCTATAAAAATAAAGGCGGCATTGCACTTGGACTATCGAGAAAGTCTTAATAGCTCGTTGACTAGGAGGATGTTAACACGGATGCGCCACCCTTTAAGGAAGCCGGTTTGTGAGGGGTGAATAATCTGCTCCAATGCTGGAGCCATACGGTTTGCTAATGTTTTGGATAGCATTTTGTAGACTACAGGTAATAATGTAATTGGTCGATAGTTTCGAATGTTCATTTTATCACCTTTTTTGTACAATAATGTAAGAACCCCTTGACCCACTGCTTCTCCCATGTCTCCTTCCTGCCACATCTTATTGTAAAGCGTCATCAAGTCCTCTGCCAACAATGACCAGAATGTCTCCCAAAATTCCTTTGGGAACCCGTTCACTCTCGGGGTCTTCTCCTCTTCCATCTGCATAAGAGCAGTCCATATCTCTTCCCTGGTGAGCGGGCGGTCTAAAGCTTCTTGGATCTGCTGGGGGAGCAAGTGAGTTAGGGGCTTAAGAAAATCTTCAATCTCTCGGTCCCTTGCAGTGATGCTAGTGTTATTAGTTTGTGAAGTAAAGAGGGCCTTGTAGAAGTCTCTGACCAGTTCATACATTGTGGTGTGGAGGTGGCCAGCGGCCTCTTAGGATCAATGGTATTCAGGAAGGCTTCAATGGTCTGCCTCTTTCCCCTGACCTTTGCTAGGCCAAAGAAGTCAGAATCCATAGCTCCTTCCGTTATATGCTTGGAAAGTCTACCTCTAATCCTTATGCCATGCCATCTGTAGGTCGCAAAATCACGTAATTTATTTTGTAGATTCGAGAGTTGAGGGGTAGGGTTCTATTGCTGAAGGTCCTGGATCTGATATCGAATCTCCATTTCTTCTTGGTAGCGCTTTTCAACCAATTTTTAAAAAAAATCTTTGCTTTTACGGCCCAGGAAAAAGAGCCCATTATTAAACCATGTGACCTCAGATTCAAAATATTTTTTCTGTTGGTGCCAATAAGCCCATACCTCATGGATCAGGTGGACGAAGTCTTGTCTGTATAGAAGAGAGGTATTGAGCTTGAAGAAACTTGGACCGTGGTTCGGTTTCCGGCGGAAGGTGAGGGTGACTCCACACAAGGCGTGGTCAAGCCCCATGAAGGGACTACGAGGGAGCAGGTACGCGAACTGCATTGCACCTGCTAGGTCCTCAGACATAAGGATCAGGTCAATTCTGGACCTGGAACGAGTCTCTGCCCCCGTGGTGCGGAAACAGGGGTACCTTCTTTCAGTGGGGAAGACCCTCCTGAAAGTGTCGAAGAGGTGAAGCGTGGAGTTCAATTCCTCAATTGTCTTCTCGTCTGCTTCTATGTATGCGGGGCAAGGGTTGGGAATCCTCCAGCTATCTAGTGTACGATCAGGAGCGGCATTGAAATCACCAGCTAGGATCACCGGTACGCCGGCTGGGATCTGTTGGCGAAGGTTTTCAAAAAATTCCCGTCTATCCCTTTCTTGGTTTGGTGCATATACACAAATGATACGTATCAATTCCAGTTCCAGCAACGCAAGTATGGAAACCCACCTTCCCCCTTGTTGCTCTGTCACCCAATGAACTGGTGTTGCCCTCGAAGTTGGCAGTATCCATATGGCCACACCTGCACTGCCTGGTTTCGGTGCATGGGCTCTAAAGGCCTGGTGTGGCCATACCATATGGTGTGCCCAGTGGTGGTGTGGAGTATCCTGTAGATGAGTTTCCTGTATACACACCACATCCGCCCATTCTTTGCCAGGGACCCCCTTAATCTGTTCCCAGATTGCCTGCCTTTTGTCAGCCGTGGCCGTCGCCAGGCCGTTGACATTTAGTGTACGAAGGTCCAGGTCTGCCGCCTGTCGACCCTTACTCCAAGCCGGGTTTTTTCCATACAGCAGTCTCACCGGGTCCATTTTGAGTGTTTTTCCTTGTCCCCTAAACTCTCTGCCATGTCATGGAGTCAAGGTTTGTCGTGTTAGTGAGCAACGGGTTCTTAAAGATCCTGCACAAGCAGGCTTGTACCTCCTCCTCAATCCACAGATTGTCGGACTTCACTTTCAGACCTTGTAAGTCTAGGAGGGTTGCTTGTGAGAACCATTTGAGGCCGTCCTCCTTTGTTCGGTCCATGAGGATGAAGACCTCCCATTTTGCCAGCAAAGAGGAGGTGCGCATGGATTTACTTTGCGCACCCCGTATTAAGTATTTCTGAATGTGTTGATTCAAATCCTCCATTAAGAGGTCTTCTCGCATATGTGTGGGCATTAGCGAAAGGAGAGGATCGAAGCCCCTCAGAGAGACTTCCCCGTACTTCACGTTCTCACTGGCAGCGGGCAGGTTTAGTTCCCATCTACTATCCTTCTTACGTACGGGGAGCATCAACAGACCATTCAACGAGGGTTGTTGCAGGTACCTCCCCGATTCTACGTGGTGTCTAAGCCTGCTACGTCTGTCTAGCAGCTCCAGGGTAGGGGGTTCCCCCACCGGGGCTTGGATGGGGTCTGACAGTGGTTCCTTGTTGTTTGAAACTGTCCCTGTGTCCCCTCCACCATCTGTCTCTTCTACCTGTTTGGCGGTGCTGCTCCCCAAGCAGGGAGGTGGGTCTGGTGCTCTAGTCCGCATTGACACCGGTAATGGGTCCTGCTGCTGGGGTTGTTCCCCAATCACATCTCTCGTCACATTCTCTGGTGGCCGCACTTGCACCATATCCCCAGAGGGAGGGGGTTGTGTTTTCAGCTCAGGGTAGGAGGGGCAAAAGCGCCGGACAACTATACAGTATACACGCTGAAGGATCTCTGGCCATTGGACACCCTGTGGTGGCCCATGCTCCAGAGCCCCCCTTAGTGTATCACTCCCTTCCAACATTGGGACCAAATCCAAAAATGTGGAGTCCCAGAATTCCGTGTTGTAACCAGGGTGTCGGTCCTGCAAGCTCTGAAGCAAGCAACCAATCTGCCAATGATTCCATTTTAGAATGCAGGGGGGCTTGTTCATCTGGCTGCCTATCCAGTGCCTCAGCCTCCGTCATAATGATATCTGGAGGGGGAGGAAACTCTTCCGCTTCTTCCATAGATATTTCCGGCGTTTGGGAGTTCTCCACCTCCATGGGGCACGAACCAAACGCGTCCTGGAAGGGGTCCTTTCCCTTCTTCTTCCCCCCCTCCCTTGCTAACTGTTCCTTTTCCTCATTCGGTTCTTTAGATTCTTTCTGACCACCAACCGATACATTGTCTTGGCCGTACTTTTGTGTGTCAGAGTTCCCAGGGTTGGGATGTGGGATCTGTAACGCTAATCCCCCCTCCGATGTCTTTGTCCTTCCCCCTTTCGATGGTTGCCCATTATCTGAGGTTGCTTGTTCACCTCTATCCCCCTGCGAGATTCTTTCCTCCAGTCCCTCTTTTGGGAGCACTGTGCTTTTTAGTTTTGCCTTTTGTCTCGCCATTGCTGCGTCATGATTGGTTTCACCTGCTTGACCGGGGGTGGGGAATCTTTGGTTTGCCCTGGCCTCAACCTTTTCCTCTTTAGACGTACCAGGGTCCATTTTTCTCCTCCCTCCCCATTCCCTCTGCCCTGATCCTTGTTCCCTTCCTTACTTTCTTGTCGTCCTGTTGTGTTCGCCTCCTTCAACTTTGTCTCTAGAGTTTTGGGAGGGGCCAGGAGTGCCAGCGTGCTGTGTTAAATGGGTCCCTCTGCAAGTGACCTGTTGCCCTTACTGACTTTTGCGGGTGGGATGGGCATGACTCCCCCGTACACAAGTGTCCATAGGCTTTACATTTAAAACACCATGGCCACAACTTGTGTGCGGTGTGGACCCTGTATTCCTTGTCTTTTATTCTGAACAGTATCACATCATCCATAGAGTAAGGGGTGGGACTCCGGAATGTCCAGAGCCAGCATAAGGTAGTCGTCTCGCTGGGCGACAAAGGGGGGAAGCGGTTCAATAAAGTCAATAATTTTATACTTTTGGCCCAATTCATGCAAAAAACTGGCCTGGATTTCGACAGGTATGTGTCTGAATTCCACCCAAAAGTGATCATTCATCATCTTCTGTCGTTGTTCCTCCAGACCAGGCTGTTTGGGGGGGGACCAGGGGTAGTTCCTCACCTCTGATCGCTCGCAGCGCAGACTCTTCCAGCTATCAATTGTTTGCTTGTCATTTTCATGCATAGACAGGACTGTGAAGGTGGTGGGGGAGAGTGGATGAATCAGAAACGAATCCCTGGCTGCCTGTCCGTCCCGCTTCAGTGCTTCCAACCGAAGCCTGATCCACCTCACTTTATCATTGGTGGATTTGTAAGCGGAATCATCGTAGAAGACACAGGTGTTTGCATGTCTGAGGTATATATCATCCCTGATTCCCAATCCCTCTTTAGGATAGTTTCTCACCATCGTTTTCTTTCCCCCTTGATCGACCACGACTGTTTCTGGGGCGCAGAGGAGCTTGGTAAGGAAGAAGGCCCGTGCAGAAGACACATTGCCCAGTGGGTCATTAACTATGATCTAAGTGACAAATTATGGTCCCAGTGGCACTGGGAGAATGGGACCATAGCATGTCGCTTGGACCATACCATCTTCCCCTGAACGTAAACATGCACTCTCACCATGAAAGTATGCAGGCTATCATTCTGGTCGAATACAGTCATGACGAGGGTGCATTGTGCTTAGGGGAAGACAATAGGGAGAGTAGTTATGGTCCATTTGCTGGCACTCGTGTACGGCAGACATGGTCCCCAGGAACTAGTTAAGGTTCACTTGCTGGGAGAATCTACCATGAAACATAGCGGGTGAGGCCTAGAACAATAATTCTGATCATAGAACGACCCAGCTCCTGTGGCTGAAGTTACACTTGCAAACTGTTGATATGCAAACCTAAGTTCAAATCCTTATGTCATCAGTTGAGCGATAGTTTTGTTCCTAGATCGATAGTTCTGATCCATTCACTGGACCATGGACCATGGTAAATTGGGAATACATTGAAACACCACTACCTTTGGAATTCACCCGCCACGCAGAGTGGGACCGGGTACCGTAGTTTCTTGCAGTCCAGCAGGGGAAGCTTTGGTTCCATTGATAGCTAAATGTAGTCTGTACTTCAGGAAAAAGGAGGCCCTCCCAGTTTTTGGTGCTTTAATGGGCCCAATAATGACCGGACGACGTAAATGTAAACCTGGAAATTAGTGACAACACGGGTGATTTGGAGGATGGAGCTGGGACCTTGCAGCCATAAAGTAGGAGAATCGGGTGACGGGGGATGCCAGCTGGCCTACTACAGGATATCAGACTCGGGAACAATGAATTCGCTTTCGAATATCTTCTCTGCAAGATCATCACACAGTGACACAAACTCTGTGGCACACTCCTCAAGAATGTCGTCGGCCAATGAATCCGCAACTCTGTGTCGGCATATCATGCAACAGCACAGAGAGAGAAGAGGCAAACAAAATTGCAATTATTAGACAAATCAATGCTTTGCAGAGAGCGATCCATGCATGTGTATGAAACAGCACAGAGAGAGAAGAGGCAACAAAATTGCAATTATTAAACAAATCAATGCTTTGCAGACAGCAATCCAAGCAAGTGCATGAATTAGAACTCTCAGGCACAGAGAGAGAAGAGGCAAACAAAATTGCAATTATTAGACAAATCAATGCTTTGCAGAGAGCGATCCATGCATGTGTATGAAACAGCACAGAGAGAGAAGAGGCAACAAAATTGCAATTATTAAACAAATCAATGCTTTGCAGACAGCGATCCAAGCAAGTGCATGAATTAGAACTCTCAGGCACGCAATTAACAGAATTTCAGACTCAGAGACTGTCAACAGAGAACCACACATCAATGCAATAAGACACAGCTGCACCACTCGCCATCCGCCAACATTTTGAATGCATGTGGACAGCATTTTGACCAGATGGATTCAAAAACTTGGTGGATGGCAAGTGGTGCAACTGGGCCTATATGAGATGGCTTTATCATTTCTTATCCAGTTGAGTGCAGGAAGATTCCTGTTTTCCCTCCCAGGGACATACCCTCCTAGAAGCATCACGATGCACTCCTCCCACTCCTCCCCCTCCTTCCCCTCCTCCCCCACCCCTTCTCCTCTTTCTTCTCCTCGTTCTTTCATTCGAAATTACATTTCCCCTTGGGGGAAAACTACCAAGGATGGACTCAAAACATTGGTAAGAAAACAAAAGAATTTTCTGTCACAATCCATATGGAAAGGTCCACTTGTAGATAATCCTACCGTCTTCCCCGAACACAGCGCACCCTCATAATGACTGCGTCGAGCCGGAAAGATGGCTTGTATACATTCAGAATCAGGGTGAGTTATGTTCGGGGGAAGACGGTAGATATGCCTGTCTGTTGAAAAACAATTGCATGTGGCTTAGAAACCTTGGTCAAGTGGCCCTTGTATTTTTTTGCTTAAATTTGTCTGTTACAACGCCCTTTGCACAAGTTCATGAGGATTTTTTTTTGTGGGTTCACTGTCTACAGTGTTCACTGAATATATGGTTGGTCATAGAGTTGGAGAGTTCGTTTCTGTATGTGAAACTTTCAAAACAAACACAGAACAAAGAAGGGAAAACGAACAGTGTCACTAAAAGTCGACCCAATTTCAGTCAAGTCAGGGCATACCCACACTACGACTTCCTAAATGTATCTGACTCCAATGTTGCCCAGACCTGGATGAATCCGACTGCAATAACTTCCGGAGCGTAGTAGAAGAAGTTCTACTGTGAGTATGCCCTCAATATCAAGATTCCTCTTGGTTTATTCAACTTTATTGAGGGTGTTGTGCGACCACACAATGAACCGCACTCTTTTGCGTAGTCAAAAGGGACATTGCAGATGTCCATAACAAGACCGACATGGCTTATTTTATGGGTGGAGCATGCACGGAAGCGACCTGGAAAGACGACCTCGTACTGGGAGCCATAGCCAGCAGGAAATGAGATCCTAGGGTTTGGCTACTCCTCGGAATTGGAAGCTATCTGACCATGTCCTCGAGATGGAGTTCAATAAAGAGTTTATGCATGCAAGGTGTAGATGGGATAATAGATCAAATGTGATAAGGAAGGCACAAAAATGTGCTTCCCACCTCAATCAACTCAGGAGTTCGCTATGGTCTATGTGGTCATTGCAGTGAACTTAACAGTACCAATCATGCGTGCACGCCTATTGTGGTGGACGTTGTTGCTTTCAATGATTATGTTTCTTCATCGTTAAATGTCTCTCTCTCTCTCTCTCTCTCTCTCTCTCTCTCTCTCTCTCTCTCTCTCTCTCTCTCTCTCTCTCTCTCTCTCTCTCTCTCTCTCTCTNTCTCTCTCTCTCTCTCTCTCTCTCTCTCTCTCTCTATCTATCTATCTATCTATCTATCTCTATCTATCTATCTATCTATATCTATATATATAGATATAGATATATATCGTCTATTTCTGTGTGTTAATCAACATCCCCAAACTCTCTGTCCCATTCCATGCACAAACCATCCATAAACAAAAAAAGTATAGATGAGCAATGTAGTAGAAGGTTTTAGGTTTCCCGCGCTTGTGTGGTTGAGCGGGAAGTGCCCACACACCCGTCTGCCGTCGAAGCGGCACACTTGTACAAATATATATAAGTTTTTCAATCTATAAAAGCAAAGGTGAAGGGCAGAAGACAACATACCTAACACAGAAAGCTCCACCAACAAGAAAGCACTGGCCAGAGGCAGCATAGTCCGGAGAGCCCTCCGAGTCAGCCCCCAAGCACAGCAGCACTGGCCCTCCTATTCCTCCCAAACAACACACTCACGTCACCACCATCTCTATCACTCCATGGTTAGACAGTCCCCATCTGCTGTCTAGCCTCTGGAGTGTATAGAGTACCATAAACCCAAAGACCACAAGACCTTCACGCGACACCAGGAGCACTACTGCTTAAAACACCATGGAAGCACCAGCATCTTCCATGTGCTCCAAAAGGGAAGCCCGTGGGAGTGACACCCACAGCAAAGACTCTCTGAGCCTCCTCGCGAAGATACCATGACCATGCCTCCAAACAAACATTCGCGCCCAAAAAAAATTGTGGCCACCCACAAACATGCCTTCATCAACAGGCAACCCATGCTGTACAGCAGGGCAAAAAGAATTAGGCCATGTATGGATAAGGAAGTTAAAAGAACAACAAACAAATTATTCGACCACAAAAATGAATAGCTCGCTAGTACGAGGCCGATCCTAATCGCTCAAATCTGCCAAGACAGAGAGCTAGCAAGACCGGTGTGTGTGTTAGTCAACATCACCAAACTCTCTCTCCCATACCATCCGCATACCATCATGTGTGAGTGGGAAGTGTGTGTGTTTATCTATGTGTCTGTGTCAAAGAGGGATACATGTGAACTGCGTTTCCGCCAGTGTTTCAAACATTCTTCAGTGTGTGTAACCGGCAATGGACCCACTTCTTGGTAGCTGTTTTTATGTGCCACTGACCCACCAAGCCTTCAAAAGCTTGAGACTATGGCCAATGAATTGCGCCAGACATACGTCTGGTTTAACTTAATCCTATTTTGCTAATAGACAAAGGGTGGAAGAGGTGCACAGAGAGCCAAAGTAATCGCACCCAAATTTACTCGTGTGCACTGCCTTATTTTTGGTCATTGTGGTCTTGCCTAATGACCAAAGATTCATCAAATCACTTGTACTTGGAGTGTACATTGACTAGAGATACCTGCCACAGCTCATGTGCAGTGGGGTACTCACCGCTGCAGCAGAGACACATGATTCCCAGTTCCAAATCTTGGGAGCTGCAAGGACCTCTTTCTGGTAAAAAGTGCCTCAGCCTTCTCCTTGACAAACCTGCACATGAAACACTTGAGTATTAGAACAGAGCCAGTGTGCCAAAAAAATACGATTTTAAAGAAGTGTCTTAAAAGTTTGCACTCTGACTCTCAACCGGAAGTTGCTCAAAATAACTTTTTTTTTTGTTTTTCTTTTTTAAACAAAAATACCCCTTCTATTCTGGGGAGCGACAGTCCCGTTGCTTATCACTGGCAAGCATGTTTTTACAATCAAGGCAGGGGGGGGAAGAGACGAGACCAGGGGGTCAGCCCAGCTCTTGTGGCACTAGCCGCCTGGCAAGGGGGGGACTGCTACAGGGCATCTCTTTTTTTTTCTTTTTTTTTAAATAACCCGAGCGGCTGCTAGGGGTGCTGATAAGAGCAGACACCACTAGCACCATCGGGGAGGCTCCATCTATTGGTGGGGAGCAGCACCTGCTGGAAACCAGGTCAAGCGTCCCATTGATACATCTTTGCTGAGAAACAGGCTCAGCGTCCTTTAGAAGTACATAGGTGAAAATACAAAAAAATACGAAAAAAAAGACCTTCCAGCCCATTGCATTTCTTAGGAGGAGGTGCTAGGAGGTATGTAGGATAGCCAAGGAAAACGCTGGGGGCAACACTACCTCAACAGGAATGTGGGTGAGGAATGAGGTAAAGAAATTAGCAAGAGCAAGGAGACGTAATGTGAGTGGACAGGAACATGATAGAGGATAAATAACCAGTGCTAAGGAGGTACACATAATTATGGTATTGGAAGCATGGAGGTAGGAACCGGACAGACAAGGAGAAAATGTAAGACACAGAAACATGGTGATGGCAGGATGACATGTGGCCTGAGGAACTGCTATGGGGCATCTCACCTCCCAACCCATGGCCTTTCTTAGGAGGCTGCCCTGCTGGCCGGGAGGCTTACTAGCAGCACCCAATCACGCAGCAGGGCAATCTCCAGAAGGGCGAGGTGGGGGGGGGGCGGGGGGCATCCCTAGCAGTTCCTCAGGCCGCATCTCATCCTGCCATCACGATGTTTCTGTCTCCTGCATTGTCTGCTTGTCTGTCCGGTTCTTACCTCCATACTTCCCATACCCTAATTATGTGTACCTCCTTAGCACTGGTTGTCTATCCTCTATCATGTTCCTGTCCACTCACATTACGTCTCCTTGCTCTTGCTAGTTGCTTTACCTCATTCCTCACCCACATTCCTGTTGAAGTAGTGTCGGCCCCAGCGCTTTCCTTGTTTATCCTACATACCTCCGAAGCACCTCCTCCTGAGTCTCTGGGCTGTTTTCTGTTATTCATCCCATTTCCCCCCTTCCCTAACCCCTTCGCCTTTGCTCCTACCTACCCTCCTGTTACCCCACCTATTATGGTACCGTAATCAACCCGTACTTGGCATTTCTATCCTTTCTATGTAACTACGGTACAAATCAGTTGCTTTCCAGGGTATCCTCGCACCTAACCGGATTCTGCCTCCGTTTCGGGGCGAGGCTCATGGTGTGACCGGACAGGGACAAACTGACCCATGCGGGGTCCCGGGTGAGCAGTTGCGGATACAGGTCCCATCTTGCCCAGAAACCCTCCTCCTTCTGTCCCCCGGTGCATCTGCTTCTATGCAGGTCCGCCAGCAGGTTCTGCAGCAGTGGGGTAGCTCCCTGTCTGCTTTGCTCATTCCGCAAAGTCCACAGGGCCCATAACAGTGCCGCACGCATAATTTCTGCCGCCATCATGTCCTCGGGTTTTGCCCTATCGACTTTTATCAACGCCCCTAAAAGGATAGCCGCGCCGGCTGCTTCCGTGACGTCCAGGGGGGATTTATCTGCCACATCGTGCACCCACCACTCCCAAAAGACCCGGACCACCGCACAAAGATATGTGGTACTGACTCCACTTGCCCACAAGTGGTTAACGGGGACCCTCACTTTCAGCTCCTGAGTAACAGGTCTTTTTTTTTTTTTTTTTTTTTTTTTTTTTTTTTTTGCCCCACCCGAGGAAAGGCTCCATCTATTAGTGGGGAGCGTCACCTGCTGGAAAACGGGTCCAGCGTCCCTTGTACAAGGTAATTCAGAAAATAGTCAGAATAAGAAGAAGCTGAGAAGACACAGTCGGAGGAGGGTGAGAGGCGAGTTACGCTGTTTGCGCCTAGTCGCTGCGACAGGCTCGCAGGGCGGAGGGTGCGACTATCGACCATCACTGACTGAGGGTGGTGAGGTAGGCCAGGCTGCCGAAGGGCGCCTGGAGCAGCGTAGGGTAGCGAGGTACAGGCTTGTAGGAGGGAGGAAACGACTATCGAGCATCGCTGACCAAGAGTGGTGAGCAGGCATGACGTTACGACTGTCGACCATCGCTGAGGGTAGGACTATCGACCATCGCTGAGGCTGCTGGGGATAAGCGCGGCTGGTGTGTTTCCTGTCGCTGTGATAGGCTCGCAGGGAGGAAGATACGACTATCGACCATCGCAGACCAAGAGCGGAATACCACTCCTAGCCCCCCCCGTACCAAGTGGGGGAATGCACTGATACAACTATCGATCATCACAGACCAAGAGCGGAGTACCTCTCCCAACCCCCCCGTACCAAGCGGGAGAATGCGCTGTTTGCGCCCAGTCGCAGTGACAGACTCGCAAGGCGGACAGTGTGACTATCGACCATCGCCGACTGCGGGTGGTGAGGTAGACTAGGCTGTCGGAGAGCGCCTGGAGCAGCGTAGGGCAGAGAGGTATAGCTCGCAGGACGGATTATACGACGATCGACCATTACTGATGATCAGTGGTAAGCAGGTGACGTTACGACTATCGACCATCGCTGAAAGTAGAACTATCGACCATCGCCGAGGCGGGTTAGGTTGCTGGAGATGAGCACAGCTGGTGCGTGTCCGGTTGCTGTGACAGGCTCGGACCATTCATATCCCTCCCCATACCGAGCGGGGGAATGTGCAGTTTGCGTCTAGTCGTTGCGTCTGGCGCGCAGGGCGGATGGTGCAACTATCGATCATCGTCGACTGAGGATGGTGGTGTGGTAGACTGGGCTGCAGGAGGGTGCCTGGAGCAGCACGAAGGATACGACTATCGAGCATTGCTGATCAAGAGTGGTGAGCAGGCATGACGTTTTCAACTATCGACCATAGTTGAAGGGAAGACTTTCGACCATCGCTGAGGTGGGTTAGGCCGCTGTGACAGACTCGCAGGTAGGAGGATTCAACTATCGACTATCACAGACCAAGAGTGGAGGGTAGACTAGTCCCTAGGGCGGTTTGATGGTTTGAGGGTACGATTATCTACCATTGATGAGGGAATGACTATCGACCATTGCAATGACTATCGATTATTGATGAGGGATACCATGGATGACCAACGGTGGTGATGTGGATGGCAGAAAGGTGCGTGGCTATGACTATCGACCATCGATGAGGGTTACCATCGCTGACTAAGGGTCGTGATGAGGACTGGTCACCTGGAACAGCGCAAGGTGGGAAGATTGCGCAGTGATGATTGCTCTAAATTATATTGCGGGTGCTATGTTGATTGAGCCAGGGCACAGTGGCAGATGCATAAGATCGATCATCGCTATTCAGGAGTAGTGACGCCGACTGGTCTGGTGAGTGAGTGGGAGACAAACGGCTGGAATATTGATGTGGATGCAGGGGTTGATTAACTCTGTTGTTCACCGATCGAAAGAGTGATCACTCCCAATTCCATCACTCATAGAAAAGAGTCATTGCACTCAGGATCAGCTTTATCGCATTTTTGATAAAAAGCTATCATTAGCAGAATAGCAAAAAGGGGGAGGGGGGGGAGTGTAAAAAATGTGGATGACAGGGGGATTGGAGTTCAGGGGTGGAGAGGATCAGAGAAAATAGCAAGGGCGGAGCAATCTCATTGGAGGATTCTTCACAAGCGGGAGCAGCCGCTGTGGTCAACGAAGCTCCAGCCTATTTGTGGGGATCTGCATATGCACATTGATAGTTCGTTCAAGGAGGCACCAAACTAAGTGAAGCACCTCATCCCCCCCTCTTCACTCCTCATCCTTCATATTCTCCCTGCTTCTGCTTCCTCCCCTTTTTTTTTCGGTTCCCCCCAACCAGTCAGCCATTATTGTATTCCAAATTATTCAGAAAGAAAATAAAAGAAAAGAAGGAAAAGAAATAGTCTATGGTCATAAAATTGGGCATTAGATTAGATTGCCTTTCTTTCTATCCTTTTTCTATCTCTTTCTATCTTTTGTAGGTGAAATTTTAAATCCTCATGACGCAAATTATTCGTCATCAAAGGGTGCACAAGCAGGTTGATTCGATGCTAATGTTTCGTGGGGCAATGAGACAAATAGCACATAAGCAGCTACTCACGCCGATCAGGCAAGTCCTACAAAACAAACAGACACAAATGGCAGCATTTAGAAAGATTGAATCATTGTCTGTCACCCCGGAAGGTGAAATCCTCACCGAGGAAGAGAGGGTCCATCAAAGTCAGACCCTCTCCCATAGCAATCTCAGTGCTCCCTCGTCCTCCTACAAAGTGATGAGTGGCAATTTCCATCCTTCTCCCATGGCCTCTCTGATTAAGTCCCATCTGGGGAGAGGAGGGTGGGGTGTCAATCAGCAGAACCAGGCTATGGTAATCAATCCATTGTACACTTTGGAGGAGGGTGGGGGAGCAGTGGCAGATTGGTCTGGTAAGACAAACGCACTGACGAAAGTGCAGACAGGGGAATAGTACCTGTCTGCTCATCAGGATCTCATAATTAGCAAACAAGGGACATGATCTCTTGAAAAGGAATCTCTACCCTTATCCCAGAATTTGGAAGATCAGTATGTGCCAACCTCTTCTTAGAAAGAGATGGAGTTCCCTAGCTTATAGGACGCAGTTGGGAGGATTGCTGATTATCAGGGAGAGAGGGTGGGAGGAGGGAGAGGAATGGGAAGTGGGGGGAGGGGAGGTAGGGGAGGAAGAGAAGGAAGGGCAGGAAGGGGAGGAAGGGGAAGAGGAGGAGAACGGGAGAGTTATGGAAGAGAGGGAGTTGAAGA